AGGTGATTTTTTAAAAATATTTTATTTATTGATTTGACAGAGAGAGAGAGAGAGAGCACACACAGAGGGCGGGGGAGTGGGAGAGGGAGAAGCAGGCTCCCCACAGAGCAAGGAGCCGCAAGTCAGGATGATTTTTAATAGCAAATCCCTCTGTGACACACATTTGCTCAAGAGTGATTTCCCTTTGACATGTAGTCATTTTTCTGTCAATGACATTTTGTGAAGAAGCAACATAGGATTCTATAAAATTAAGAATTGAGAACTTGAATTTAAAGTTTAGTGAGCTCATCACTGCACCATGCTTATGCTTATATCAAAGAATTATTTGTATTGTGTCATTGGAAACAGTAGGAGTCAAACATCTCATCTATGGTTTTGACTCTGCAGCTGTTCCAATAATGTTTTCAGAGAATCCATAGCATCCTGAGTCTGGTTTAATGTTTCAAAAATAGCCACAATGGGTTGTATTATCAGAAAAGTAGTTATCATAAACATGATTTATTTAAGTTACTTAATACTGTGATTTAAAATTCCTTGAAGATGGGCGCCTGGGTGGCTCAGTTGGTTAAGCGACTGCCTTCGGCTCAGGTCATGATCCCAGGGTCCCGGGATCGAGTCCCACATCGGGCTCCCTGCTCGGCGGGGAGCCTGCTTCTCCCTCTCCCACTCCCCCTGCTTGTGTTCCCTCTCTCGCTGTCTCTCTCTCTGTCAAATAAATAAAATCTTAAAAAAAAAAAAAATTCCTTGAAGATAAGTTTAAAAACAAGAAAGGATCATTAAAATGATAATTAAGGGGGGGGAATGATTTAACCTAGCCTCTTTTCAAATATTGTGTATGATGGGATTTTAAAATGAAACAGAAGAGTTAAAATAAGGCTAGATAGTAGTTTCTAAACAAAACACCTGCTAATACACACCCCAAAAGCTTGCCCTTTACTTAACCACTGGACCCCAGTTTACCCAACCTCAGCCACATTGTCATGAAGACCACCTCGTAGTAGAAACCTGGTCTTTGATGAGCTCTTTGTGGATGAGCATCCTAAGATAAGCAGGCATGTATTTATTTTCCTTTTTCTTTTTCTTTTGTCTATTTTCCATGACAGTTCTGTGCTGGACTATCCACTTTAACCTGGGTCCCCAAACACCAATGGAAGAGATTTTCTTAGATTAGTAGAAAGTTTGACTTTAAACCCATTTTTCTGTTGATACATGAATAAAGAGGTATGATTTGATATTGAAGTTGTTTGAGTTTCAAATGTATTTTTCAATGTGAATGACAGCTGTCTAGCTCTCCCTGCTGGGTACTCCTGTCATCTGAGTAGCCTCCAGATCCACTGACCATGTTTTCCTCTTTGACCTGTGGGGGCTGGGTCACCCAGCAACCTTGCCCTCCCTCCAGCTTCTGGATTCAGAGACTGGTGGCACTAACAAGAGATGAGAAGGTGGGAGGACAGAAGGGTTGCATTTGTTCCCCTGGCTTCGCCCTGTGGGCCCCTGGCTTCAGGGTGCTTCTGGGGAAAGTTCCGTATCCTTGCCCCTTCAGGCCCAGGGCAGGGCCTGCCTGCTGCCACCGACCCTCGGTGCCTCCCCATCCTTGGCCTCCCTTCAGCTCGCCAGTCGGTCCCCCCGCCCTCCTGGCTGTGCCATCTCTTTTGTGTTAGGGCCCTGGCTGATAACCTTGGGTTGAAGCAGGTAATGTTAACGGTGTTTTAAAACCAGGCCACGTTGTTCGGGAGGCCGGAATGATGTCAGAGCCTGGTGAACAGTGAGGGTGGAGAAGTCTTCTGTTCGGAGCTCACTGTGGAAATTAGCTAGTCCTTCAGTCTTCTTGAATTCCAGATATTGACACAAATGAAGAATTATAATAATCATATGAGAACTCATTCTTTGTGTGTATATATATATAAATATATAATATATAATCTTCATATCTCTATCTGAAATCTTTTATAAAGTTACTTAGATTTCATCTGATCCAGCTTCATGTTTCTGCTTTTCTTCCAATACGACATTGTATCCGTGGCTGATGAACTTTTACAGAGTGTGGGGGGCATTCGGGGCGTGGGGAGCATAATGGGAGAGTGACCCACCTGAAATCCTGCACGCTGTGTGGTTTCCTCTCCTTTGGTAAAGTTCTGCGATTCTGTGATCTTCTGATGTGGGAGGAGAATTTTAAGGTAGGACGGCCCTGGTGAGAGGTCAGAATGTCTGCACACCCTGATGGATCCTGTGTCTAGTCCCGCCTGGTCTGGGATTTTGCCTGGGGGTTGAGTAGAAGGGAGAGGAGCGGGGGAGGGTGGCTGTGTCACCGTAACACCTGCAGGTGTTCCTGTGGTTCACCTTGGCTCTCCCTGACACCCAGAGCCTTCCTCTTGTCCCTGTCTCCTGCCCCCGTCAGAATCATGCTGCTCTCCTCTCTCATTGGACCACTGTGGTCTCCTAAGTGATCTCTCCCCATCCTCCCTTGCCCCTGTGATTGTACAAGTCATTCTCCACCAAGATCTCTCTGCCACGTGGAGCATGTCACTCCTCTGCTCGCAGCCTCCGCGGTGTGACCATCTGACTTGGAATAGTGGACCCCCGCCTTGTCTCCAAACCGGGCAGCGCCCCATGCCGCGCCTCATCCCTCCACATCAGCCAGACCGGCTTGTTGTTCCTCAAGCTCACCATGCTCCTCATGGACACATTAGAACTTCCACACCTACTCATCTCTAGTGGGACTTTCACAGATCTTCTTGGTTCTGCCTCTTTTACGATAATTTTTACAAGCTTGTTCAATGAAATTTTTTACCTTATTTTCTGTGTGTACATATTAGAATGTTAGTTCTATAAAGAGCAGGGTACTTGATTCATTACTATAACTGTGCCTGATACATAGAGGCATTCAAAAAATTTTGGAATAAATGAATGTAGTCAAACTCCCTTAAATTACTTACCAAAGAATCATCTATAACATAGGCATTGCACTGGGCTTTTTGTTATTTTTGCTGACTCGGTTATACAAGATTGTACCTAGAATTTAGTTAGCATAAACTCCGTCCCTTGCAGAGTTGATTATCAGAACGCATGATGAATTAAGCGGCTATCCCAGTTAAACCTACGTTCCATTCATGGAAAGAAATAAAATGATTCCAATTTACATTAATATTTCCAGGCAACCATGACCATCTAACTGATTTGTCATTGAGAGTAAAAGATAAGTAATTTATTAAAGGCATTTAATAAAAACTTTCTTACCTGTTTATTCTTACTTTTTTGGTTACCAGTAAAATAATTACTGTTGAATTGTTTTGTCTAAGTAATTTTGACAGTGAAATCTGAATGACCACTGGGTCCTGATCTTCTCAACCCTAATAGTAACCACACTACCTGTGAAATCTGGTCCAGGGAGAAAATTGGTTCCTTGCATCCTACAGTGTGCCCAGTTCTGTTAACATTTCTTGTTTTGTGGATTTACGAGATAAATCTTTTTTGAGGTAAAGCTTGTTAGAATGTTTAGCCAACAGAAGTAAATGTTGAGGTATATATGTGAATATATACGAGACTGAATTACTTCAATCTTATGAAACAGTCATAGTTTTATTTTCATGTTCTGTTTCTGTTTAATGAATTTACCTGTTGAATAAACAGATGACAAACTCGTTCTTCTAGAAGCCCAAATCCAGAAATATTCTTCCTTTAAACCACAAAGTGCTTATTAGGAAACTCTCGCATCAAGAAAATACAGAGTTTCCTGATCACGTTGAGGAATTTGGATCTTCACACGGCATCTGTTTGGGGTCACAAGAAGGGTGCCCAGAAGTCCCATCAGCCACTTAGTCTGCCCCAAGAAAGACGTGTTCTTTAAGGAAAGTGAGGTTGTAAAAGTGATCCTTAATTACGGAAATGGCCTAAAGGAAGTGGGCTGATGGGAGATAAAGGAGCCTTGCAAGGGATCGGCGTCCCAGACATGGGTAACAGACCAGGCAGAGTCTCCCAAATAGCCGGGAATCTGTGTGCGGGAGAGCCGCTGCATCAGAGGCTCGGCCGCAGCGGCGGACAGGCGTTCTTAATGTGCCGTCTGCCCTGGTAGGGGCAGGCTCAGGACCCAGGGTGGGGCTGTGCCCCCTGGAGGGGACCATCTGTGTGGTTACAAGAACTAAGGCAGCTTCTAGCGGAGGCAGCGGCGGATTCCCGAGACTCGTTAGAAGGTACATATGAGCTGGAAATGGTAGCATCTCATTTGCTCCAGAGTTTTGTATCTTTCTTGATAATTTGCCTTTGAAAGTATGTAATTTGCTTCATAAAAGTTAAAGTCAGTATATTAAAATTCCTTACTAATCAGCGGTTCGTGCCACCATTAAGCATAGATTTCATTTGGGTCACTAGACCAAATCCATTAAAATTGTAAGGGTATGTCCGTTTCAAGTCTTCAAGCAGTTTTTTTCTTTTTCTTCAAGAAGAAAGATTAAACCAAACCACATTTAGAAAAAAGAAGTCAAAATGTGAATGCAAAGCAACAGAAAAAGAGAACTCATTCCTTTGGAGGTTAGAGTTTGCAGAGTGTTGAGACGCAGCTCCCCTCACACACGCTGAGAGCCTCCATCTGCTCTGGCCTTGTCTTGAGCTGCTTGCGCCGTGGGGAGGTCATTCATTTCTCTGCACCTCACATTTTTCATATATAAACAAAAGGATGGGGGTAGATTTTTTTTCTTCAAGGTTTCTTCACCCTGTACATTTGCAGAACCTGTGAGGATTTAGGTGGCCCCAGAGCCATGCCCAGCTGTCTTGGTGACAGCAGTAGTACTGAGGTGCACGGTAACGCTTCACGGGACAGTGACAGAGGTGACCCCGGTCCTTCCAGTTGAAGCAACACTGCTTCTCTCCCTGCCTGCTCTCCTCCCGGTTGCCAAGTGATGCCTGCTATTTAAGCCTTATTCCTGAAAATGCACAAGTCTTTCTAGCCTTTACTCTAAGAGTGCAAATGCCACGTTGACCTGTTTTGTGTTATTGTGTTCTAGAGATCGTGTCATTGGTTTGATGATGACTGCCTGTGATCTTTGTTCTGTAACAAAACTCTGGCCGGTTACAAAATTGACAGCAAATGATATATATGCAGAGTTCTGGGCGGAGGTATGTTTTTGATTTTTATATGAACATTAAAAATGAGAAAAAGTCTGGTGAGAAAGTAAATATATGGGTAAATTAATAACAGTGTCTTAGTAGCTCAGGTTGCTTGTTACTTCAAAAAACAGTATACTGTCAGTCACATGCAATAGAGGAATTAGCATTTCTACACAGATTTAAGGACACTTACATAGACATACAGCCCATGAGATTGTGGCACCCTAGTGTCACAGGCTGTATACGTCTGCAGTTAGAAATTGGGGACATAATTACCTTGTACCATAAACATACAAGATTCTGTAAATACTCCAGATGGTCAATTCAACGACTAATTAGGAGTTCCACAGAATATGTGGGCTTTTAACTCGTGATACTCCCGACATGTGAGGCAACCATGGAACTTACTGTCATTAATACCCTCTGTCCTTGACTGAATTATATCAATTATCAGAAATGTGTGTTTGAGTTCTCATTTTGCTTTCTGAATTGTCCAAGAAGAAGTAGAACACTCTCTTATTAACATGAACCCTCCAATACCTAGCCCCCTGCATATTCAAAGATTACTTTAGGGAAACAAATGAAATAAAATGTTTGTGTATTTCATTTGGTTTGAAAAAGTAAAGGTAAATTTGGAGGGCCAAGAGTTTGGTCATTGCTAATTCAAACCATTCAGCCTTACCCATATAAAAGAATGGGTGTAAAAAGTAAAAACCAGCCAATCATTCAGTTGATAGCTCAATAGAAAAGATTTATAATGTTAATTTTTTTCACGATGGCAAAGCCAAAACAATGTTTGTTGAATGAGAACCACAGGCCTGGAGTTGATTATACTCACAGTGTTATTTCTCCAGAATGCCTACACATTGTGCATGCAAACTCTTGCATGTTTTTTATTTTATAGTGTGTATCCCAGGATCTAGTTACTATCAGACTTAATTAAAAAGGTTGTTTTAGGTATACATGTCTGAACTGTAATCTCTGACTTTATTATCCGTTAACTTAATTTGCACATGTGTCTAAAAGTAATAACCTAGAGTACATTCTGTAAGTATCACTGAAAACTGGTCTGAAGCTAGCTTATTGTTTTGCAAATAATTTTATTTAACTAATACAATTCATACTTCCATAATTGTATTTGTATTCTAAAATATGAATCAAAATGTGACAGATATGCTATGTAGATTTCCCTCCTCTCTTTTTTGCACTGATTAAACAGTCCACAAAGATGGATTAAGCTCCCAAAGTGCACACGGATGCTGTCTTCAGGGACCTCGTGGTCCATGGGAGGAAGCAGAGGTCATCACTGCGTCTTGCCGGCTCACCTCCCAGATGTCCGCTAGATCCCATCTCTGCCCACCACCCACCCCCCTTCCTACCCCAAGACTTAGGCACCTCGTGCCTGAATCCCTGCAGCATTCTGACCTAGGTCCCTGCCTTTTCCTTCAGACTTAGACTAACAGTCACACAGAGTGTGGTGTTTGATGTCCTGGTGCTGGAGATGGGCATCCTGCTGTAGCACGGGGGATCAAACCTCAGACCAGCTTTGTGACTTCTCTCTGTGCTTTAGTTGTCACATCTGCAGGTTAAGGGTGACTCTAATGTTGTTCCCAGTCTGTCCCTCCATGCTGTTGTGAAAGAGACAGAAATCACGAATTTGATCTCCAAAGCCCACTGCTTCACCAGACTATTTCCTCGTCTCAGCCCCTCTGGCTTCCCTGAGTCAAGTCCCTCTCGCGGCCATCTAGGTCAGCTTCTCCCCTGTCCCGCGCC